TTAATACAATTTATATTTAAATTTCAACATTAGAAATCATTCCTTTACTTTTTTGTCTGGAGGCTTCTTTGAGGCAAATTTCTAATTTTTAGCCTTTTTTTATGATGAGTTAAAGTACCACCCATTTCTCTCCTCAAAATAGAAACTATTTATTTATTTTGTATTTTTAGGGAGGGATCTACAGGCTGTTCAGGGTCTCACTACTAGATCAGACTTGTAGTGATTCTCCTGTTTACAGCCTCCCAAGTGCTGGGATTATAGGCCCGTGCCACTACGCCCAGTCTCAATTGCCAAGTCAGCGTGCCCTGGTGGTGGGGCTGGCTCGGCAGGCCTGGGGATCAAATCCCCGGCCCCTGCGCCTGCTTTCAGGTGCTTTAATCCATTGAGCTATTTGGCCAGCCTGTGGATTGTTAATATCATTCTAGCTGTACATGGCCAACCTTGGAATCAGGACAGGAAGACATTGGTAAGGGAGTGGACACTATGGAGGGGTGAAGAACTGAGAGTGCTTTTGCAAACAACTGTAACATAATTAATTTTTACACTCATCAACTAACAATTCATTCAAAATGGTCAGCTATCCTTGGCCCACATTAATGATATCATCTCCTTTGGCTTGATTTTCTTTTTTTTTCTTTTCTTTTCTTTCTTTTTGTTTTTTTGTGCTAGGGATTGAACTCATGACCTAGTGCTTGTCAGCTAGGCGCAGAGCTATCTCCCCAGCCCTTGACTTTCTACTAGATTAAAAAATGTCAGTATGTGATTTTTTAAAATCTGCCTTGACAAAATAGAGACAAGAAATGATTTCTATTACATCTACATAAACTATTTTTGCTTGAAAAAAGATCAGAGATCTTTCAGAAGAGATCCCAAACTACTACAGTCATCCCCAGAGCAGACTGTGGGAACCAGTGAACATAGTTTAATAGATCTGAATGCATTTTTACAAAGATGAATCTGTGCTTTATGCAATCCCATTAAAGAGAAAACCTGTCAAATATGTTAAACATTGATGGGGCTGTTCAAAATGAAGTCTACAAAAGCATACAGGCAAGCATCACTCTTCAAACTAGTTCTTTTGCAGCATCAGAAAATACATATTTAAATTGTATTTACATTCCTTAAATTAGTAAGGCCTGTTGGCTTTTCTTTGGTCTCTTTACCTACAATTTATGATTATTCATTTTTTTTCATTTCATCACTTTGGGCTGATTACACTAGAGTAAAGGTACTTTTGTTTCCATACTGGTGTTTGGCCAGGTATAGATTAATGAGGAGAACCCTAAGGGATAAAGAGAAAGTTTGGGTCTGTTTATGATTAAACACAAAGTTTTATAGCCCTGAAGTTGCTCTTAGCTTTGGGCAAATAGCTTTTTCATGGAAACTTAACTTATGTTGTTTGAAGATTGCCTAGCAATACCAGATGTCAATGATCTTTTAAAAATTAAACCTCAAACAAGACAGGCATGGTGTCACATGCTTATAATCTCTGCTACTAAAGAGCTTGAGGCAGGAGTATCCAGTTTGAGCAATTTCACAGTACCTTGTCCCGAAAAAATGAGAGTTAAAGAATGAAGGGAACAGGGTATGTAAGATGTCATCGAGGGCCTCAGGTTCAATGCCCAGTAATATGCATGCACACAGACACAATACACACACACACACACACACACGCACACACACACAAATCTTAAATCAAATGTAAATTTAATTTTACTTGAAAGAACAGGTTTTAAATTAAAAATCCATTTGCCGAAGTTTTATATAAACTCATGCCAAACAATGGATATCTGCTATTGTATTTTGTTCCAATGTACCCCAACCAACTTAAACATCAACAAATGCAAGCCAGCATCCATACCTATTGTTGTCTGAAGCATAGCTTCACACATATTGTGCCTTCGAATCTCAAGGCCCTAACAGAATGGCAGAAGATTCGCTGTACACTTAAATTACCCTGCCTCTAAAGTAAGGGTGGAGCCTGGATCTGAGCCTTCCTTTCCAGATCAGAACGTTTGCCAATTCCTTTAAAATGAATATTTAGTTCTTGCAGATCTCTTTTTATTTTCGCGAAACTGAAAAATTGTTTTCACCTGGAAGTCTGAAAACAAAAGATCAAAAGGAAAAGAAAACAAAAACATCCCTTGCGCACTGCCACTCGCTGCAGCCCTGCCCCGGGCGGAAGCCGCAGCTTGAATGAAGCTAGAGCTGGTGCGTCCGCCGGCCCAGCCCGCTCCGCTGCGCTGCAGCCTCCAGCCTGCGGGCGGCGCTGCGGCGAACGAACTCCGCCCGGGGCGCGCTCGGCCGCTCTCGCCGCTGGCGGCGAGGTGCCGCTGAGAGAGCGCGGGCAGGAGGCGAGCGGCAGGTGAGCGCCGGGG